GATTGACAGGGTCATCACTCATCCCTCAGAAGACGCGACCAGAGACATCACGTTGAGAGACGTGCGAGATTTTCAAAGCTCCGGATGTGCAACAGGTCACGCAAGATATTCTAGGGCATACGAGGACTGCAGAGGCGTGCAACATGTGCAACCTCAACTCCCACAAGTCAGTTACGTGTTAACGTAAGCTGTTTCGGTAATATACTTGCACTTAAATGCTCCCTTAACTCATTCTCAGATTTCAAGAACTTTTCTGGAAACACGCGCTGTCGTCAGAGCCCGTCGTCTCATCTGTCCCATACCGTCCCACGTGTCCCATACCGTCCCACATGTGTCCCATACCGTCCCACAGGTGTCCCATAGCGTCCCAAAGGTGTCCCATAGCGTCCCAAAGGTGTCCCATACCATCCCACATGTGTCCCATACCGTCCCACAGTTGTTCCAAAGCGTCCAAGACCCGTCCTAGACCGTCTCCTACCTGTCCATACAGCCCCAACCACACTTTTCCACGCCGTTCTCCCCCACCGGTGCAACACCGTCTCCCACCTGTCCTATATCTGTCCTATACTGTCCCCGCGCCGTCCCCCGAGCACACAGCAGGCCTGTGTTTGACAAACATCCCGCCCCACACTAACATTATACCCTACCCGTAGCCACGAGGGCCGGACGGGCCCGGCACCAAGAGCCTGGTGTAGCACAGCTCTCGTGTGAGTGTATCAACACTACGGGTCGACGCTACACCTTCCTGGAATACACACCTCCGTTTTTCTATCCCTTCCATCCCTCCCGTCCCATTCCTGCCTCGTTCTATCCCCTGTCTCCCTCCCTCCTTACCTCAGCCTTACACAAGCCAGGTGTTTCCCTCACACTGGCTCTCCCTTGCTGCAAACTTTTCAATATGAGACTTTAATCAATATTTTGGCTCAACTCCGAGAGCCCTTGGGAAGGGTGCGGCTCCGTGAGGTTAGCTTAGGGGGGCCTGGGGCTGTGTTGAGGTGGCTGGGGTTGTGGGGAAGTGGTTAAGGGGGGTTGAAGGGTAGGATTATGGTGCTGGACTAGACACGTATGTGATAAATAATAATGTGTTAAATGCAGATTAGGAGTCACAGTAACGTGGATGAAGTATGTTGACCAGACCACACACTAGAAGGTGAAGGGACGACGACGTTTCGGTTCGTCCTAGACCATTCTCAAGTCAAGAATGGTCCTGGACGGGCCGAAACGTCGTCGTCTCTTCACCTTCTAGTGTATGGTCTGGTCAAAATGTGCTAAATATATCAATATCAGATAGAACACAAAACAGTGGGGACAAATTCGACTAATTTCAGAAAAGACCTGGGTAAATACAGGTTTGGGCCTAACTGATGTTAATTCTGATTCAAATTGTGATACAAATGTGTTATGTAGTCCAGTGGTCTACATCCTCGATCCACAATCAAGGAACTGACGTTCGATCCCCGGACGGGACAGAAATGGTTGGGCACTTTTGCTTTCACCTGGTGATTCTGTTCACCTAGCAGTAAATAAATATCCATGAAATTATGAACTGTTGTAAGTTGCATCCTACGGAAGTATAAGCATATGTACACACACACACACACGCACACACACACACACAGGCGGGACCAAAGAGCCAGAGCTCAACCCCCGCAAACACAACTAGGTGAGTACACACACACACACACACACTCACACTCACACTCACACTCACACTCACACTCACACAATTTCAAAGCGTTATATGACAAAGAGTGCTGGGAAGACGGGACACCACGAGCATAGCTCTCATCCCGTAACTACACTTAGGTAATTACACTTAGGTAATTACTCACACTCACACATACACACGCACACACACACACACACACACACACACACACACACTCTCTCTCTCTCTCTCTCTCTCTCTCTCTCTCTCTCTCTCTCTCTCTCTCTCTCTCTCTCTCTCTCTCTCTCTCTCTCTCTCTCTCTCTCTCTCTCTCTCTCTCTCTCTCTCTCTCTCTCTCACTTCCAAACGCGACACAAAATTCAATTTTCCTTTCTTCTCCGTCCGTGTTTGATGTCAAATTTAGTCATTAGAGATAAAGAACGTCACAACTGAAGCCAATTGATTTTTTTGTGATCGTGAAAGTTTTATCAATTCCCAGTTGATAGTCTGTTGTTGATCTTTGGAACTCTCTGTGGATGTGTGACGATCTCTGGTGGTCTCTGGCGACCTCTGGTGGTCTCTGGCGATCCCTGGTGGTCTCTGGCGACCTCTGGTGGTCTCTGGCGATCCCTGGTGATCTCTGGCGACCCCTGGTGGTCTCTGGCGACCCCTGGTGGTCTCTGGCGATCCCTGGTGGTCTCTGGCGACCTCTGGTGGTCTCTGGCGATCCCTGGTGGTCTCTGGCGACCTCTGGTGGTCTCTGGCGACCCCTGGTGGTCTCTGGCGACCTCTGGTGGTCTCTGGCGACCTCTGGTGGTCTCTGGCGACCTCTGGTGGTCTCTGGCGACCCCTGGTGGTCTCTGGCGACCTCTGGTAGTCTCTGGCGACCCCTGGTGGTCTCTGGCATCCTCTGGTGGTCTTTGGCGACCTCTGGTGGTCTCTGGCGACCTCTGGTGGTCTCTGGCGACCCCTGGTGGTCTCTGGCGACCTCTGGTGGTCTCTGGCGACCTCTGGTGGTCTCTGGCGACCCCTGGTGGTCTCTGGCAACCTCTGGTGGTCTCTGGCGACCTCTGGTGGTCTCTGGCGACCTCTGGTGGTCTCTGGCGACCTCTGGTGGTCTCTGGCGACATCTGGTGGTCTCTGGCGACATCTGGTGGTCTCTGGCGACATCTGGTGGTCTCTGGGGACATCTGGTGGTCTCTGGCGACCTCTGCTGGTCTCTGGCGACCTCTGGTGGTCTCTGGCGACCTCTGCTGGTCTCTGGTGACCCCTGTTGGTTTCTGATCTCTCTCTCTCTCTCTCTTTTTTTCTCTCTCTCTCTCTCTTTTTCTCTCTCTCTCTCTCTCTTTTTCTCTCTCTCTCTCTCTCTCTCTCTTTTTCTCTCTCTCTCTAACCTCCTGATTATTAACTAACCTTAACCTACACCTAGAATAAAAAGCAACTATCAAATGTGTCATAATAATATGTCTTTATATGTTATTTTCAATCTATATTTATAATTGAACATTTTCATAAAGCGAGACAAAAATAGAGGTTTCATGCAGTATGATAGGGTAGGATTTATCGGCGCTTCATCTAGCAATGCTGAACTGCATTCGGTGCAGCCCAATCACTCAGTCAGTCAAGTGTTGAGTGACGGTAATGACACTTGTTAGTAGTGGTGCTGGAGTTACATAGAGTTACATAGAGTTACAGTGAATACTCTATAAGTTAAATTACCCTTTGACGAACAATGACAATGGAACAGTAAACTCAGTGAAGTAATTACAAAGTATTAACATTTCACAGCTGACATTCAATGAAAAGCTAGAAATAATAAGCAAAGGGAAGACATGCATCAGCTTCATCCATTCTACAGAGGCATTTACCGCGGGAAATAATGAAACATAAGCAGTCGGCCAAGCGCATTAATAGCGTGATTGACTCACCCGTGCTGGTCAAAGTGAGCATTGTACCTCAAACTGGTTCACCATACAAGCTTTCGGGTTCGCTGTTAATCATTTATTACAATGACTGTTATTATACGTTTGTGTGAAGCTTGCAGAGACGCATTCTCTTCTTTCTCTTCATTCTCTTCATTCTCTTCATTCTCTTCATTCCACTGACCTAGACTCTGATATTCAGATAATTGTTTGATATAGATTAAGCCACCCAAGAGGTGGCACGGGCATGAATAGCCCGTAATCCGATATTCAGATCCTTGTATTAATTTATGTTCACCTGTCCTGTCCCTTTCTGCCCTGCTACACCCTTCCCTTACTCACCCCTCCCTATCTCACACCTCACCTCCCCCTACCTCACTTCCCTATGCTTCTCCTCTCCCTACCTTTCCTACCTTTCCTACCTATGCCTCCCCTTACCTCCCTTCCTCCCTCCTGGACGGGTCTGCCTATGTCACCTGGAGAAAATAAAAACACACAAAAGTGTCTTGTGTGTTGAAGGGAAAGAGAGGGGAGAAAGGGAAGAGGAGGGGGGAAGGAGATAATGGAAGAGAAGGACAGGTTAAATGAAACAGAGCTAGACGGGATGGAAATGAAATGAGGGAAGAGGGAACGAGGAGAGGCGAGAGGGAGACGGAATGGGAAGTAGAAGAAAATGGGAGAGGCAAGATGAAAAAAGAAGAAGAAAGGAGTGAATAATGAGACGGAGATAGAGAGGGAAGAGGAGGTAAAAATGAAGATAGAGATTAGGAATAGGCTTTCAAAAGAGATAAAGTGACTTGTACCTGGCGTGTTACCTCTCCCTCTCCCTCCCTCTCTCTCTCTCTCTCTCTCTCTCTCTCTCTCTCTCTCTCTCTCTCTCTCTCTCTCTCTCTCTCTCTCTCTCTCTCTCTCTCTCTCTCTCTCTCTCTCCCTTTTCTCATTCCAGCATTATTCTGGCCGTCGTTCAACCCTCCTGTGCCAACTTCACATACTTCATCTCTCCCATTTTAATGTCAATAATCACATCATGGAAATACCATTTGGTGTGCATCTCTTCTCTAATAATATACTGCATGAAGGCTCAGTCTTCGTATAACGGATCAAAATGGTGGACCTGCTTATATAAGTTCATGTGCAGACGGTACCTTCATGACGGACCATATACACATACCTAACACAGTCACTTATGGTACCAATCTGTTCCAGGGACCCTTACACGGAGCCTGTCTGTTCCAGGGACCCTTACACGGAGCCTGTCTGTTCCAGGGACCCTTACACGGAGCCTGTCTGTTCCAGGGACCCTTACACGGAGCCTGTCTGTTCCAGGGACCCTTACACGGAGCCTGTCTGTTCCAGGGACCCTTACACGGAGCCTGTCTGTTCCAGGGACCCTTACACGGAGCCTGTCTGTTCCAGGGACCCTTACACGGAGCCTGTCTGTTCCAGGGACCCTTACACGGAGCCTGTCTGTTCCAGGGACCCTTACACGGAGCCTGTCTGTTCCAGGGACCCTTACACGGAGTATGTCCGTCTCAGGGACCCCACAGGAGTGAAACAGGGCCCTCCCCGCCCACAATGTACCATGCTGACAGGCAGGGAGCCCACACAAGAGGTAACTATGCATACCAAGTACGAGCATCATAAGGCGTTCAGGCTCCCTCCTCCATAATCTCCAAGACTTCATGCTGGGCGCGTCGTAAGATCCTTGGAGGAGGAAGATTTAATCTTCCTCTTGAGGTTCACGTCTTCCCATACCTGCTGGGGCCTCTCAGACCGCCACTGTCCACGGCTACGATTCAACCAGCATTTATGTGTCCATTTACGAAACATATCCATCTATAAGTGTTTATAATAAACACGTATAGATGTAAATATTTAATATAAACATGTATATAAACATAAACGTATATATGTTGTGAGAAGTGAGCATATGGCTCTCATAGGACTCTCGCCCTCACCCCATACATACACAGGACCCCCCTCACCCCTTACACAGGACCCCCTCCCCTCACCCCATACACAGGACCAGACCTGTGCTCACCCAACCTCATAATTTCATCAATAACGACCTAGCTGACCCGAGGTAATGACGTCACGCCTACGTCACAATCTCAGATGCAGTTGACCTTCTGTAGGAGAGACATATATATATATATATATATATATATATATATATATATATATATATATATATATATGTCGTACCTAGTAGCCAGAATTCACTTCTCAGCCTACTATGCAAGGCCCGATTTGCCTAATAAGCCAAGTTTTCATGAATTAATTGTTTTTCGACTACCTAACCTACCTAACCTAACCTAACATAACTTTTTCGGCTACATAACCCAACCTAACCTATAGAGATAGGTTAGGTTAGGTTAGGTAGGATTGGTTAGGTTCGGTCATATATCTACGTTAATTTTAACTAAATGAACAAAAATTGACCTCATACATTATGAAATGGGTAGCTTTATCATTTCATAAGAAAAAATTTAGAGAAAATATATTAATTCAGGAAAACTTGGCTTGTTAGGCAAATCGGGCCATGCATAGTAGGCTGAGAAGTGAGTTCTGGCTACTAGGTACGACATATATATATATATATATATATATATATATATATATATGTCGTACCTAATAGCCAGAACGCACTTCTCAGCCTACTATTCAAGGCCCGATTTGCCTAATAAGCCAAGTTTTCATGAATTAATGTTTTTTCGTCTACCTAACCTACCTAACCTAACCTAACCTAGCTTTTTTGGCTACCTAACCTAACCTTACCTATAAATATAGGTTAGGTTAGGTTAGGTAGGGTTGGTTAGGTTCGATCATATATCTACGTTAATTTTAACTCCAATAAAAAAAAATTGACCTCATACATAGAGAAAAGGGTTGCTTTATCATTTCATAAGAAAAAAATTATAGTAAATATATTAATTCAGGAAAACTTGGCTTATTAGGCAAATCGGGCCTTGAATAGTAGGCTGAGAAGTGAGTTCTGGCTACTAGGTACGACATATATATATATATATATATATATATGTATGTATATATATGTGTGTGTGTGTATACAGGATATGTGGAAGGTGGTCAGAATTGTATTTCAACTTTGTAAACGCACATTAATGGCATTATGTAAAAAGACACATCGAACACTGTTTATGTAGGAGAGACGTAAATCTGTGTATGTATGTATGTAGGTCAGATTAGAATTTTATAAGCACTACTATCACCTTCTGTGTTTGAATAAATCACTGAACTATATGTTTAACAGAGCTCTCACCCTGTCCACGGAGGACAGAAGAAAATGTATATATGCTGGTTAGCATTGTAAATGTCTGGCCACGTCTGTGGTAGAGAATAATAATAATAATACAAATAATACCTCCCGTCACCCCTAGCCCGTCTTCGTACTTAATAGGATACATTTTTACGCAACCCGTAAAAATGTAACGTATTAACAAAAATTAAAGCACCGTCATATGGACGTTTTCTATGCATCGGCTTCGATAGGCTAGTTGGGTTGTTTGGAATCGTAAGTTACTGGCAAGGTAAAACAATTACATTTTTGACGGAGTGGGAACCAAGAGAATGGGCTGTCTCAGTTAGCTTAGTTACCCACCTGAAGTTACTAAACAAAAATATGTGGTGGAAACTAATGTAAATTGTGTTGTGTTGTGGGGGCTTATAACGACCAATTAGTGACGTTGTGGTGTATGTTGGCGAACCATCCAAGGCTCGTTGGTGTGTCAGGTCCTGCTCAGAGGCTATAGGATCACCTTTATGCTTGTGTGTGTATTTATACACATTCTATTATAATATTTAGATTCACCTCTAACCTACTTGCAACCTGCCTGACAAATATACAATGTATCCACAAGGTTTTGTTTTTTAATTAGATTGTAACAAAGTCATAACAAGGTAAAAATAGTGAGAGGTAGAGTTGTTGTTGTTTAAGATTCAGCTACTGGGAACAAAAAGTTGCAATTAGCACGGGCTATGGTGAGCCCGTAGTGGACTTACCTGGCACAGGAGCGGGGCTGTAACTTCCCTGGGAGTTGTGGTAATGTGGATTGTTCGCTGGGAGGTGGTTGACAGCACTCAGGTATTTATTTATTTATTTATTTATTTATTTATTTATATATATACAAGAAGGTACATTGGGATGGTGAGGATACATAACATAGTAATTACATTCTTGTAAAGGTAGTCTAAGGTAGTCGTGGACACTCGCTCTCCTCGTTAACAATGTTTTCCTCTTATCCACAGGT